GTCCATGGAAGAGCACGTCAAGCACCTTGAGGAGGTTTTGCAGGTCCTCAAGGAGGCACAGTTGCACCTCAACTTAGAGAAATCTGAGTTTGGAAAGGACAGCGTCATCTATCTTGGGCACCGGTTGTCTGCAAACGGCCTTGAGCCGGAGGCAACCAAGGTTGAGGTCATACGAAAGTGACCTCAACCGGCAAACGTACGCGAACTGCGTTCTTTTCTGGGTTTGGCCTCGTATTATCGGAAGTTTGTGCCCAAATTTTCTGTCATTGCTCACTCACTCTCGAGACTAACAAGTAAGAATGTTGCCTATGCGTGGCACGCACACACACACACACAGACTTGGAAACCACAGCAGAATGCGGGAATCTCAGCAAGGCATTCATTCCAGCGGCAAGTCCCAGAAATCAGCAGTGTTCTCAGTCTGTGTTTTTGGCGGGTCATTACATAAATCAAAGTCTTGTCATTTGAGGATTCATGAGAGAAAGAGGTAGGGGTCCATACTACTGGATTCAGTGGACATTTCTTCTGCTTCCGAGCTTTTCGAGGGGGCACCCTTGGTTTGAACTTCCTGCTGTTCAGACCGGGGTTCTCATCCCGAATTACTTTCTCCTCAATTTGTCTCAGTTCGCTCTACGCAGAGAACTGGATCGAGAACTGGATCGGGATTGCAGTATAACGATGTGCACCTTGCTTTTTAAGCCATCTGTGAACCCTGAAAATAGGATCCTCAGTGGCACGCACGTGCTCCTGCCACCGGTCGTGCAGAGCTCGACTGGTCTGTCCAACATACACCTGTCTACAAAAGGGCGAGATCAAAACATAGATACACGACGAACATTTTCGAGTATCAGGAAAATCGGTTAACTCTATTTGTTCCCAGAATTTTCGATACGTATTCCCCCATCTTAGGAAACCAGCAAAACAAGCAAATAGAGTACCGAATCTAAACGCGTCTTCAAATAAAAGTCTGATTTGACCATGGAGAGAGGGGATCTTTTCACTAATCCATCCGAGGAGGCGTAGTAAAGTACGCCTAGAGATCTAGTGCCCAGCAACGTCTTCATTATCGGCGTTGGCGTCAGAGCCCGGATCGCCGTCTTCTTCGTCGTCCGGTTCAGGGTCTTCTTCATGTTCACTGTCACCGTGCACGAGTTTTAAGAACTCGTCTATGTCTTGTTTGCCAGTTCCCAAGCGCACTTATCCTTCCGCACCCACTTGATATTTCTCTTTGCACACAGACTCTTGATCTTCTTCCCGTTCATCTCCATGTAATGGTCTAGCCTTTGTCTCATATATTCCACGATCCCGCTCTCAGTCTTGTCGTCTTTTTTCTTGCATCCACGGTTGACCTTCAACTTGTCTCTCTCATCTTCAGATTCATCACTAGTCGTGCCCTCACTCTTGTTCTCGACCGTGGTACGCTTTCCCCGGTCCGTCGCTGGTGTGTTCGTGTTCACGACGGGGTTCTCCCCTTGTCCCCTATTCGCGATGACGGATAGCATCTTCATGACATCTTCCAATTTTACTTCGCTCGGGTTGCTACACCTCGTAGCGCCTTTTCCCGCTTTCTTGGTCTCTTCGTCGTCCGATGAGACTTCGATCCTGGGTTGTCTGATCTTTATCCCGCCACTCCGGGATCTTGATTTTGACCTCGACCGCTCGATAGACGGTGAATTGACGCCCACAATGCGCTTCCTCTTTTCGTTACTATTTGACTCCTCATTCACACTCTTCCCTTCGATCTCTTCCACCTTCTTGACTAACTTCTCACGTTCCATGTCAGCAATCTTTGCTTTTTTATCTACAACGTCGAGTTTCTTGGAGATCTTTCTGAGAGAGCTCCCAAAATTCTCGGCCATCCATGCCTTCAAATTTTGTTCCTCGTCCTCCGATTTGCACGCTGATTTATCGTGCCCCTTCTTTGCGCCTTGTTTACTGCTTCCACTGGAGTCCTCACTAGTCTTCTTCGCTTCTTCTTGGTCCTTTGCCTTCCATCTTTTGATCAGCTCGAGATGCTCCCTCGTGAACCATGCCCTATTCCCTGGAGCGGGAAAGGGATTCGTTGAAGAGTCTTCTGGTAATTCTGTTGGCCATAGTTCAATTCGGAGGTGGCGGGGGAGGAGGTGGCGGCGGAGGTGTCGGCACTGGAACCCATCCATATTGGGGATAGGTATAGTTCGGTTGTACCGGTGCTGGCAGCGCCTGAGGAGGGAGATTCTGACCAACTGCAGGTACGGTGGCTGGCGAGGTCACTGCTTGATAGTCCATCCAGTACCTCCGATCGCCAGACCACCTTCCTCTACCACGGTCGCGTCCCCTTCCACGAACGTACATGCAAGGCTGAACTTGGAGTCTTGTCCAGTCCACTCGTAGCCGATCCACCTGCAAGAACACAAAATAATGTATATAGAAAAGGTGTACGACACGTCCCTCTGGATCAAGAACGATCGTATGGGAAGTAACGTGGAGTAAGCATAATAGAGAAAGTGATAAGTAGTGTGAAGGAACGCACGTGCAATACGAGCTCAAACCGAATCCCGCAAAACATCCCGAAGGAGAATCAGCACGAGTGCGCTGATCCTCGTGAGGAGTAGGAGGTAGGAAGAGCACGGATGATAGCAACACGGTACGAGGCGAGCGTGCCCAAGCACAATCGCAAGGTCGTTCGCCAAGCTCATCAATAGACTTCAATTAACAAAAAACATTGTAGTTGAGGATTAATCTCACAGCATACTACATTGCCTCAGCATAGTGTAGCCACGCATGGTCTCCACCATACCACAGACACATTGCCTCAGCACAGTGTAGCCACGTATGGTCTCCACCATACCACAGAGTCACAAACCTTCTACCTCAATGCTGCTCAGTCTGTTTTTCGAGTCAACGCTCTCTCATACTTATACCCAAAAATGTTGCGTAGCTCTCTTCGTCCCATGAGACGATGTGAGCCGCGCTACCTCCCGCTGTATTTCTAAAACTTATACAAATTAAAAATTTAAATTTTAAAGGAAAAAAAAAAAAAGGCAAAAATTCAGCAAAGAGTATAATGAATGTAGACCGAAAAAACGAAAAACGAACATGCATCTAGAAAAAAACGTGCTGAAAAAACCTCTCGTCTCGTCGGTGAGTTAGGTTCCCGCTCAATAGTAGGAAAACTCAATAGGAAGTAGAAAAACCCTTTTTTAATGTTGACGCACGGTGGCTTCGTCGTCCAGTTATCCCAGGCATATTTTTGCAGATTTGTCTCGACTCCCAGGAATCTGGTCGTACATCAGCACGACAAAACTCAGGAACAGTCCTGTGTAGCGGAGATCGTCGTTGCTTCGAGCATATCTCAGTGCATCTTCCCTTCCTTTCAGGAAAAAAAGGGGGAGTCCACATGTCCCGTTTCGCTTGGTGTACGACAAAAAATTTTCAGCCGATACCCGAGCAGGGCGATTGTGGTACTCCCATCATTCCCATCCTTTGTAACACTGGGTAATTCTCTAAACCATCTGATGTTTTATTATATTTAAAAAAAATCCAAAACATAAACACAATGAAAAAAACAAAAACAAAAAAAAAATGAGTGTCTTTTTTTCTTGGGTTTGACAGAGATTTTTTAAGGGCTAAAACAAAAAAAGAAAAACAAATAAAAGATATAGGGTTGTAGATCTTTCAAAGATGTACAACAACCTGCATAGCATGGCGAACGTGTTTGCGCCTCTTCATGTTCACATGTTCGCGCGAACAGCTCGCGAACATGTTCGGATGAACATATTATTTTTTTGTAAAAAAAAAAAAAAAAAAAAACTTAATTTTTCGGTTTGTGATTTTTAACTCGTGATTGGCTGCGAATTTGAACATTACTCCAAGGCAAACGTTGCTTGTATTGTTATTTTACATAACATATATTTGTGTCAGATGTTGTGTCAGATGTTTCCGAGAAACTTTTTTTTCTTTTTTTTTTATGTTCGCGTTCGGAGGGTTTTGGGCGCTTGTTCGCGTTCGGGCGAACATGTTCGCGTTCGACTCGGAACGCGAACACGGTGCTATGTAGACAACAACATATTTTATTGTTTTTTATTTTAACTTCGTGTATTTAAAAAAAAATCAAAACCATAAAAAACAAATAAAAAAAAGGAAAGAAAAGACACGCACACAGACACAGACACACAGACAGATAGACACACAGTCACACAGACACACAATCACACAGACACACAACACACACAAACACATAAACATACAGAGACACACAACACACAAAAACAAACATAAACACGCACACACACACACACAACACACACAACACACACAAACACAAAAAAAAAAACACAACTGGGGGCGGCAAGGGTTGGGGGGTGCGGGATGGGGGATGTGCCAAGTTGCCCTCAATACTGGTACAGTGATGGTCCTGAGTGCTGGTCACACTGAGGTAGGATAGTAGGGACAGGGGGTGCGCTGGGAGTATTAACGTGGGGATGGATGGGGTAGGTGGCCTGTCCTGTCAGGACAACCATTGGCTGCTACTACCAGCAATCACCGCGGGTCTGGTCCTTCGCCTCTACAACACCCCGGCCTTTCCAAAAAAAAAAAAAAAAAAAAAAAAAAAAAAAAAAAAGAGGATCTTCTGATAGAACGTGGAATAATATGCCGCCATATGTTTTGTTTTTTGTGCATGTGGTGAGTAGAGGCCCACGGCCTGTCTGCTTTCAAATGTCAAGGCCTGAAACCTTCTCAAATTTTCATTGGTCTGATGCTGCTTGGGCCTTTGAGTCATGACTTTTCGATTTTGGCATATGATTTCGACTGTCGACTGTGACTCCTGCCACTAGGACACGAATCTGGCTTGTGGAACTGCCCTTTACTCGTGGGATGCGACTCTTCAATATGACTTTTCATTATGAAACGTGATTTTTGCCCTTAAGATGTGACTATTTGCTAGGTGCCTGTTGGACTGGACTACTAAGGTACCCGACTATGACCTTTCTGAAATTGACTAACTCGGCCCTTTCTTGGCCAGGGCCTCTGACCCTGAGACCCGAATTTGGGGTCTGAATCGTGGAAGGACTTTCAACATGTGGTGAGTAGAGGCCCTTAGGGCCACTGCACGTATTCCTAAGAAAAGAAAAACGAGAAAAAACGAAAAAAAAATGAGAAAACAAAAAAAAAACGAAAAAACAAAAGAAAAACGATAAAACAGAGAATTAGTGACCCATAACTGTGATGCACAGAGTGCCACAGACCTGAATTCGAATCCAGACTATATATTCTCGGCCCACACAGGCAGTCTACAAGTCTAATGTCCATCTCTGCTCCACGAGGGGTCCTTGCTAATTCGTAGGGGCCCTTCGAAAATGAGACTGGACGAATAGATTGGAACATTTATAAAAAAAAAAAAGAAAAAAAAAGGACATGTTTTCACATGCACACACATGTGCTCACAGTGTTGGGGGATGGGGTCGCCCCAACTTTTTTCCCTCTTGCAGTTTGATTTTCGGGAGGTAGGGGCATTTTTTGTCACCCCACCCTGTTAATAGGGGTCAAAAATTTTATTTTATTAGTGTTTGGGCGCGAGGGCCATGTGTCTGAGGCCCAATGCGCCCATCCCGTTTTTTCGGATTCAACGGGAGACCCCCGTTTTTCCGTTAAACGCGATTCAACGGGGCCCCTGAGGTGATTCAACGGGGTTCAACGAAATTTAACGGCCCCCGTTGCCCGTTGTTCGGACACACAACTCTTCTCTAGTGTAAGACACTGTACTCTACTCTACTCTACTCTACTCTACTCTACTCTACTCTACTCTACTCTACTCTACTCTACTCTACTCTACTCTACTCCACTCTACTCTACTCTACTCTACTCTACTC